CTCCCCCATAATACACTTTAAGGAACACTGGCCCAGACTCTGTGGACACATTTCCAGAAGCAAGTTTCTGGGCCAGGTTGTACATAGGGGCAGGGGAAGGTACCATCAGGAGGGCTGACTCCACTCAGCACCTGCTAACCCATTCCAGGAGATGGGTGGACCCTGGCCTGAATACACACTACCTAGATACAGGTCTCTGGCTCTGGAAGAAGAAGGCTGTAAGCCTGGCACAGGTTCTGGTGCCCAGAAATTGGTGGCTTCCCCCATTCACAGAACAAGGCATGTCCCAGGGCACGACCTCATTCAAAAGTGTGATCCCAAAAAGCAGGGGTTATCCCTGAGTCCATCCTATGATGGGGAAGGAAGACCACCCACAGCTGTAAAGCAAAGCTTGTGTTGAGGAGTGTCTGCCTGGCTTAGCTTTGTGCAACCCTGCAAATGGGGAGCAGAGACATCGGACCCCCAGGCAGGGGTGTGACCTGTAGGAGCTCTCTGCTCAGATTCCAGACCTTGGACTAAACGCTGACCTTGGCCTCCTTCTTTTCTCCCACTTCCTCCCCCTGCCAACCCATCATCTTAGCTGAGTTCCAATAATTCACCCCTTTTTCCCAGCTAAGTGGAAAGTCCTCAGGTGGAGCAAGCGTGTTCTTCATGTGTCAGAACTCACTCATGATTGGCATAGCTGTGTGCAGGGTGGGTGGGTTAGAAACCCCAATACATGGCCCATTTTCATCTCCTCTCCTCTGCCAACTGTCCGACATAAGCAGATGTCATAAGTAGATGTCATATGCATAAGCAGATGTGAGTTGGTCCCACGAGGCCTTCATTCCAGGATATCAAAATATCAGTCCGGGTCTGGGGTCTGTCCCGGCATCTGTGGGACCTGGAAGTCCTTCCTGTCAATGGTGAAAAACGAGGAGCAGCTATCAAAGTGTCAGTAGCCTAAGCCCAGAGACTGTCAGTGTGTCTGGTCCAGCTGCACGGCTCTAAGGCGGCCCTCCTTTTCTTTTGTTTCGGTTTGGATTTTTCTCCCAATTGATGAGTTCCACTCGCTCGGGGCTAACAACAACCATCCTGCATTCTACCCAAAGGGCAGCATACCCTAGACTGGGGGGCTTGTAAGCAACAGAAAGTTATTCCTCACAGTTCTGGAGGCTGGAACTCCGAGATCAAGGCACCAGCAGATTTGGTGCCTGGTGAGGACCTGCTTCCTGGTTCATAGACATTCTTCTTCTCCCTGGGTCCTCAGCCGGCAGAACGGACGAGGGAGCTCTCTGGGGTCTCTTTTATAAGGGCACTAATCCCATTCATGGGAGCTCCACCCTCATGACCCAATTGCATCCCAAAGGCCCCACCTCCTAATTAATATTCTCACAGTGGGGTTAGGATTTCAACACATGAATTTGAGGGGGACTGTGGATTGCGACTGTCATTCTACAAGTGTAGAAAAAGAATATGATCTTTTTGTAGCTGTGAATTAAGATGTGTCCCAGTCAAGATGCGTCCAATGACTTTGATATTTGCAATTGCAGCTTAAAATATGTATAAATTCGAGATGATGGAGCAGCAACCAGAAGTTTGCTACTAGAAGGTGAAAATGCTGCAGAAACCCCAAGGGTGCGACCAGGAGCTGCCCCCCACCCCACCCCCAGCCGGCTGCGGTCGGTCGGGAGACCCTTGCCTCAGAGAGGCTGTGCGTTGGTTGGCCCGGTACCCCAGCCACATTCTCGTTTTATTTTTAATATCAGTTACATTTTTCCTTAGAAAATTAAAAACACAATATAGACAATGAAGAACTTAAAGAAAAAAATTTCTGCATCCTCTATCACAAACACAACGTTGACAAGCTAATGAACTTCCTTCCATTTTTCCTAGCCTTATTCAGTATTGCCTTCAAAAAGAGAAATGTCTTCTTTTTTTCAGGTTTTTTTCCCTTATAGGTTATTATAAGATATTGAGTACAGTTCCCTGTGCTATACAGTAGGTCCTTGTTGTTTACCTATTTATATGTAGTAGTGTGTATCTGCTAATCCCAAACTCCTAATTTAAAAAAAAAGAGGGAGGGACTTCCCTGGTGGTCCAGTGGTTAAGACTCCACACTTCCACTGCTGGGGGCACAGGTTCAATCCCTGGTCCAGGAACTAAGATCCCACATGCCGTGTAGCACAGCCAAACCAAATAAACGAAAAACAGCAAAACCCCCAAAAGAATAAAAGTTAAATTAACTTAAAGAGAGAGAGAGAGAGAGAGAGAGAGAGAGAGAGAGATGTTCATAGCAGCACTCTTTGCAATAGCCAAAGAATGGCAACAACCCAGAGGTCCATCAGTTGATAAATTCACGAAATGGAATATTACTGAGGCATGAAAAGGAACAAAGTACTGACATGTGCTACAACATGGATAAACCTTGAAAACATCATGCTCAGTGGAAGAAGCCAGACATAAAAGACCACATAGTACATGATTCCATTTATGTAAAATGTATAAAATAGGCAAATCCATAGAGGCAAAAAGCAGATTCGCGGTTGTTGGGAACTACATGAGGGTGGGGTGGGAAATGGGGAGTGACCCTGCTCTGGATACGAGACGTTTTTTAGGGATGATGAAAATGCCTTGGGATTAGGTAATGGTGGTGGTTACAAGATGTTGGGGACATAGTGAAAACCACTGATATCTTAAAAGGTGAGTTTTAGGGTATGTGGATTATATCTCAATTTTTTTAAAAAAAGAAAGTAAAAAGAAGGTTATTCCCTTTGGCCTAAAGATCCAGCTCTGTCTCTGGACCTCCAGGCTGGAGGACCGAGCATGCCATGGTGTCGTAGGGAGGGCCCCTGGTGGGGGAGGGATGTGGCCCAGGGGAGGGGGTGGGCTGTGACCGCCACCAACATTCCCTGCAGGCCAGCCCTGTCACCTCCTGGGGATGGTGATGATCAAGCACAGGAAGTTAGGTGTCAAAGCTCTTCCAAGCACTAGTCCATCATTGGAGTCTGTTATAATCTTCATTTTACAGGCGTGAGAACTGAGGCCCTGCCAGGGGAGGGGCAGCCGCTCAAGGTGGGCCCTTTGCCTGGGGTTCTACATGTTTCCTTTGCAGTTTGGGGCAGTGATGGGGTGGGGGTCTGTCTGACCCAAGAGTCTCCCTGAAGGGCCGCAGTGGGGAGTCTCAGCCAAACCACCCAGAAGCGACCTATTGGACCTGGGGCCAGGGCCTCCTACAGTGGTGGGGTGAGAGGGTAGAGTGTGGGGCGGGAAGGAAGGATTGTGGGTTTTAATCCTCTGTGCACGTGAAGATGGGTGGTTTGTGCCAGTGCTCTGGAGAGTTCCCAGGCACGTAGGTGCTGCCCCAGGTGGGGCCTGCAGGTGCCCCCAGTGGCCAGGCAAGAGCAGGACGGGGTGTGTGGTGACCCACTGCCCCCTGCAGCTCTGCAGGACCTCAGCCAGAGTCCCCACGTCCCCAGGGCGGTCCAGAGCAGCCGGAAGTCAAGGTTTTCACGAAGGACTCTCCCTCTCCGTTAATAACAACAGATAATTCTTCTCTTAACACAAGGTCAAACCAAGTCCACGTGTGGGCCAAGTGCAGCTGTGGGATGAAAGCGTGAGGCGTCTGCTCTAAATAGACACATGAAGCCAGTGGTTTCTTTCAGCTAAATTGATCCACAAATCAGTCATTTCACTGTGGCATTTGCTGTTAATTTTGGCCCATGAAACAGGGCTGCTGAGTAAACAGAGACTCGCCCAGCAGCAAACCAGCTCTTAGGTTCCCAAACCACTTCCTGAGGCCGAGGCCTGGCTGTCCTGTTGCCTCGGTCCCACCCTCCCCTCCCCACCTCCCCTGTCCCCCCATCCCAGCCCTGCCTTCTCCAGGGTGTCCCCCTGCAGCCCGCCCTACCCTCCTGCACCCTCTCCGGAGGCTCCTCCCCGTCTACGTGGACCTGTTCCAGAACGTCCTGGTGCCCCTCCTCCCCGGGGAACCTCTCCCAGGGGGTGAGGCTGGCTGTCTACACTTCCTCAGGCCTTTGCGCTAAAGCCACATAAAAATCCAGAGGATGGTGGAGCATCCTGTGACCACCCCCTGGATTATACAAAGGTTACCTCGGTCATGTTTGTAGCAGATACTTCCTTCTTTTTTTCCTTTCTTTAAACAAACAAACAGGGCTTCCCTGGTGGCGCAGCGGTTGAGAGTCCGCCTGCCGATGCAGGGGACTCGGGTTCGTGCCCCGGTCCGGGAAGATCCCACGTGCCGCGGAGCGGCTGGGCCCGTGAGCCGTGGCCGCTGGGCCTGCGCATCCGGAGCCTGTGCTCCGCAACGGGAGAGGCCACAACAGTGAGAGGCCCGCGTACAGCAAAACAAACAAACAAGCTGTCAGGGCCCGTTCCCACGCCCATCAGCCCACTCCCCTCTCACTTCCCTCCCACACCTTCCGGCCCATCGTGGGTACACGGTCCTTGGTAGACAGCACTTCGAGGCCCTCGAGACGCTGCGTCTGTCCTCCGCCTCCCCCGCCTTGCATCCTCAGCCCCCTCCGCTGCTCCTGGGGGCTCAGGGCCGCCGCCTTCCTCTCTTCTTCCTGCAGTCTCTCCATCAGCAAGCAATCCCAGTGATTCTCACTGCCTAGCATTATCTAGATATCGCCTGTGCGCTGAGTCCCATTCGTGCCACCAGCTGCTACACGACACCTCTGCCCTCCCTGCAGGTCCAGTGGGCGCCTGGGGCCTACGGTGCCCACTGGTGGGAGCTGGCTCTCCTTCCCGGGCTGGGCCTGCGTGGCCCCTCCACAAATCGCAGCGCCAGCCGCCCGCGCCGCCAGCCAGAAACCCAGGGTCGTGCTTGGGCTCCTCCCCTCCCGCCATCCTCATGGGCAGCAGGTCCCTTCCCCGCCCGCCAGCCACACCAAGTATCTCCTGTCCACCCACCCGCTCCCAGCCTAGCCCCGGCCTCCAACCTCTCTGGCCTGGGCCACACTCCGGTCTTCCCACGGGTGCCCTGCCCCCCTTTGCCCATGTATAATCCAGTCTCACCAGCTCATGTCACCCTCCTGCACCCTCTCCGGAGGCTCCTCCCCGTCTACGTGGACCTGTTCCAGAACGTCCTGGTGCCCCTCCTCCCCGGGGAACCTCTCCCAGGGGGTGAGGCTGGCTGTCTACACTTCCTCAGGCCTTTGCGCTAAAGCCACATAAAAATCCAGAGGATGGTGGAGCATCCTGTGACCACCCCCTGGATTATACAAAGGTTACCTCGGTCATGTTTGTAGCAGATACTTCCTTCTTTTTTTCCTTTCTTTAAACAAACAAACAGGGCTTCCCTGGTGGCGCAGCGGTTGAGAGTCCGCCTGCCGATGCAGGGGACTCGGGTTCGTGCCCCGGTCCGGGAAGATCCCACGTGCCGCGGAGCGGCTGGGCCCGTGAGCCGTGGCCGCTGGGCCTGCGCATCCGGAGCCTGTGCTCCGCAACGGGAGAGGCCACAACAGTGAGAGGCCCGCGTACAGCAAAACAAACAAACAAGCTGTCAGGGCCCGTTCCCACGCCCATCAGCCCACTCCCCTCTCACTTCCCTCCCACACCTTCCGGCCCATCGTGGGTACACGGTCCTTGGTAGACAGCACTTCGAGGCCCTCGAGACGCTGCGTCTGTCCTCCGCCTCCCCCGCCTTGCATCCTCAGCCCCCTCCGCTGCTCCTGGGGGCTCAGGGCCGCCGCCTTCCTCTCTTCTTCCTGCAGTCTCTCCATCAGCAAGCAATCCCAGTGATTCTCACTGCCTAGCATTATCTAGATATCGCCTGTGCGCTGAGTCCCATTCGTGCCACCAGCTGCTACACGACACCTCTGCCCTCCCTGCAGGTCCAGTGGGCGCCTGGGGCCTACGGTGCCCACTGGTGGGAGCTGGCTCTCCTTCCCGGGCTGGGCCTGCGTGGCCCCTCCACAAATCGCAGCGCCAGCCGCCCGCGCCGCCAGCCAGAAACCCAGGGTCGTGCTTGGGCTCCTCCCCTCCCGCCATCCTCATGGGCAGCAGGTCCCTTCCCCGCCCGCCAGCCACACCAAGTATCTCCTGTCCACCCACCCGCTCCCAGCCTAGCCCCGGCCTCCAACCTCTCTGGCCTGGGCCACACTCCGGTCTTCCCACGGGTGCCCTGCCCCCCTTTGCCCATGTATAATCCAGTCTCACCAGCTCATGTCACTCCCTGCTCACCAGTCACTGTGGCCTAAAGGCCCTGCAGAAGGAGCCCCACCTGCCTCCCCAGTCACCAGTTATTCCACATTCCCAGCCCAAGCCCCTCAGCCACCCCCCACCCCCGCAGCTCTTCCCACTACACACTGTTCCCTCAGGACACACTGTTCCCTCAGCACACACTGTTCCCTCAGCACACACTGTTCCCTCAGGACACACTGTTCCCTCAGCACACACTGTTCCCTCAGCACACACTGTTCCTTCAGGACACACTGTTCCCTCAGCACACACTGTTCCCTCAGCACACACTGTTCCCTCAGCACACACTGTTCCCTCAGCACACACTGTTCCTTCAGCACACACTCTTCCCTCAGCACACACTGTTCCCTCAGTACACACTGTTCCCTCAGCACACACTGTTCCCTCAGCACACACTGTTCCTTCAGCACACACTCTTCCCTCAGCACACACTGTTCCCTCAGCACACACTGTTCCCTCAGCACACACTGTTCCCTCAGCACACACTGTTCCTTCAGGACACACTGTTCCCTCAGCACACACTGTTCCCTCCCCCTAGAATTTTCTGCCAGTCTTTCCATTCTCAGTTGAAATGTGGAACGTGTTTGGCAAAGACTTCCCAATCCAACAAGGCCCCGGCCCCATGTGCACACCCCGTACTCTTTCATACCCTCTTCTCTTGTCCCTTCCTACTGTTCCCCAATCTGCAGTCCTCTGGCTTATTTGCTGCCTTGTTTGTTGGCCATGAGTCATTACCTGATGGCAATGGAAGCCTGGCTCACCTCCACCCCAGCCAGTGGCCCTGCACGCAGCCTCACACTGGCCACACAACGGGCTCCCACAGAACACGGGGTGTACGAAGATATGGCAGCTTGGTCTGTGCCTGTTCTTCCCTTACCAAGAGAAGCCCCCACTCAAACGCTCCTCTCGTGCTGGGTCCTCTCCTGCCCCTCCACAGCCCAGCCCCTTCCTACTCAGATGCGGGGTGGCACAAGGCATCTGCCCTCCCTCGCAAAAGCCCGTTCCCTCGCCTTTCTGCTCCTTGGTACCATCCCTCCTCCTCCGCTCTCCAGACCTGTCCTCACCTGCTTCCCACCTGCTGCTCCACCCAGCCCACCACGCCCTGGCCCCAAGCGTCTTCCACCCACCTCTCCAAATCCTGCCCACCCTTTGAGACTTAACTCCCTGCACTTATCCACCCCCTGAACTCCCAGCCCCTGGTGGTCTCTGAACCACCAACTGAAGCCTTGCTGACATACCGCCTCTGTTTCTGTTTGCATCTTACTACCCTGTGATAGAAATGCAGTCGTCCCCCCTTATCCGTGATTTTGTTCTCTGCAGTTTCAGTTACTTGCGATCAACCCAGTCTGAAAATATTAAACGGAAAACTTTAGAAATAAACAATTAAGTCTTGAGTTGCCATGCTGCTCTGAGTAGCAGGATGAAATCTCACGCTGTCCTGATCCAGCCCATCCAGCACCTCCAGTCATGGATGTGGTCTGATGCTGACATCCAGCCACAGATACCGTCTCGGCTGCATGATCCAGGGTCACCTGGAGCAGGCGATCCTCCTTCTGACTTGGGGTCAGAAGGTCCTTAGCAGCCTAATGCTATGTCGCAGTGTCTGTGTCATTCACCTCACTGCATCTCATCGCATAGGCATTTTATCATCTCACATTATCATCAGAAGGGTGAGTACACCACAGGAAGATATTTTGAGGGAGAGAAAGCATGTTCACATAACTTTCATCACAATAAATTGTTATAATTGTTCTATTTTATTTTTACTTATTGTTGTTAATCTCTTACTGTGTCTAATTTAAAAATTAAGCTTTATCATAGGTATGTATGCGTAGGAAAAAACATAGTATATACAGAATTCGGTACCATGTGGGTTTTGGGCATCCACGGAGGCTCTTGGAACGTATGAGGATTTAAATGTAGTATTTCCCAAATATTGTACAAGTGTTATCCCAGCTGAAGCTCAGAAGTATGCAAGGCAGTGCCCCCTTCAGAGCAGGGAAAGTCTCAGCTCAGTGGAGTGGGCAGTGCCCCCACAGTCCCTCACTCAGCCTCGTGCACTGTCTCGGGTGGGATCCTAATCCCCAGGGCAGATGTTCCCGTTATCTTGCCCCCAAAGCATTTAAAACAACCATTTCTGATGGACAGAAATATTTCAGATGAGGGGGTAGGACCTAACCTGAGGGGGCGGGGAGGACCAGGTGGGTTTATGAGTGAACCCTGGCAGGCTCTGCTTTCAGCGAGTCCACGCCTTTTGTTAATACCTTAGCTGACTCAGCCCTGGGAGTGTGTCCTCAGCAGGGGAGGTAGGACTGTTTACCGAGGGGCCTCCACCCATTGTTCTCACCTGTAACAGCCTCTGAGGCTGCGCTCACCCCACGTGAACTGAGGCTCTCCCGGGTGATCTGGGTGACCTCCTGCCCTGTGTGCACTACCGACCCACAGGACAGGCCGCTGCCCGCAGCTCTGGCGATGCTCCACCTGGGCTATTGAATCACTCCCTTAGTAACCATGCGATAGTGAGCACCTCCCCTCCGCTGGGCACTCATGCAGAGGACTCAGCAAGGCTGGGGCTTCTGTGGCTTTTGTGGGAGGGGAGGGGGCAGAGGAAAGAGGGAGGGGGTATATAAACAGGATGCGGGGGCTCGGGGTTGGGGAGTCAGAGAGCCTCCCCAAAGGCAACTTTTGAGCAGAGTCTGGACACTGTGAGGCATGATTGCAGGCAAGAGA